TATCTGGGCACACAGTCAGAAGGGCAGGTAATCCTTCCCTCAAATGTGTCATTTGACCTGAAGTTAGGCATTCAAAGCAGGACCCCTAATTTGCAAAAGAAATGCTTTATATTGCCAGCCCAAAGCTGCCATGAACAATTTCCTGGAGAGGAGGGAAGCTACTCATGGGGGAACTGAGACTCTCTTCTAAGTCCCCGCCCCAAGCTGCAGTGCAGGAAATATTCATAGTCTGTCATTCCAGGAATGAGAAAGGCGGGGATTTAATGGTTCTCTGAGAGACCTGGCACAGACAAAAGCTTTCAGGTTCCCAACAGGAAGAGGCACTAATGTTAATCAGCACAAGTGTCCTCATTACCAGAGAAAGTCATTGGCCATTAAAGAAAACAAACTGAATGAAACACATAGAAGGACATACAAACACACACAAATACAAATACATATACACATATGCAAGGCAAAAAGAGATACACACAGATAGAGACAGACAGGGAGAGAGATAAACAGAGAGACACAGAGTGAGTAGGGTACTCCTTGACCATGGGTTTAAGCCAATAGAATGTCTCTATTAGCCAGCTGCCAAATACATGTTGTGTTCTGCATTCCCGTGCAGCATCTTTCTTTGCTCAGAGTGAGCTTTCAAGAGCAAAAACCATATTCCGGGTTGACAAACTCCAGTTAACAGAAACAATTAGCCAGAAATGTTACTATAGAAGCCAAAATTTTAGTATGTTTCAAGCAATGTTTGAACATTTAGAGTTTTTCCTAGAGCTATGAACTTTGGTGCATTAAACCTTTGTTTCACTTATTAGAGTTGTATTTCTTTTTAATTCAAGTGCTGGCATTATACATTGAATGGTATTTCCATCATGGAGACAGCTGTGCTTAGACATGGGTCTATGCACTAGGAGACTGTTGTTTTGACAGATCCAGAAGAGGCTGTTGGACACCCTGGAAAGCTGGATTTACTGATGATGTTGGCTTCCCTGAGAATTGCATGAAAGTCTTCAGGGGGAGGTATCCAGCTCCTTTTTAAAAGCTGAACATTTTCTCCATCCCATCACAGTTACTTTCTTAAAGATGACACCACAGCCCCTCAAGACTAGTCAGTTCTCTAAAGCTTTGACAGTCTGAAATATTTTATCAGGAATTAAAGAAGTAATCATGATTTGTTTATTGCATATTCTTCCCTTCTTTCTATCCCCCTCCCTCCCTCCCTTCCTCCTTTCATTTCTTCCTTCCTGTTGATGAAACTTTCTATTCAGCCAGGTTCCACTGCCTTTCAGTACAAAATAAACTTACAGATCCTATATTAATTATAAGGTAGTTAGTCAATAGCTAGGGCTTCTTTCTGGCTTGCACTCTTAATATTATCCCATAACTACTATTTTATGTCTTTCTACATAGCCTTATCTTATCAGAGAATTCCTGGTGCATCCTATCTTTGCATCTCTTTGAGACTTTCTCTCTTCCTTTCCCCACCCTTCCCTGGTCTGTTTGCCCCATCTATGCTTACTGCCTGGTTATGGACCTAACAGTGTTTTATTCATCAACCAATAAGAAACACATCACCTTCCTACCTTCATTCCCTCCTTCATTTGTTCATTCATTCCTTCCTTTCTCCCTCCCTCTCTCCCTCCCCCCTCTTCCTACCTGCATACTTCCATCCTTCCTCCCATTGACACCCTTCCTTCCATTTCTTCTTTCTTTCTTCCTTCCTTTTCTCTCTCTCTCTCTCTCTCTCTCTCTCTCTCTGTCTTTCTCTTTCTTTTTGACATTTTGTCTCTCTGCATATCTGGCTCTCCTAGAAGATGCTCTAAGAGTCTAAGAGCTGAGTCTGCCTCTCCCTTCAGACTACTCTGAACAAAGTCTTGGGCTACCACATCATGCCTGGCTCATGAATTTCCATTTAATTACCTTAACCATACTGTTAGTCTTAAAAGTGATATGGATAGGTAAAGTTTAAAGAATATCAAGACTTTGTTATTATTGTTAAGAGCATTATAATTAGATCATCGGTATATTATAAGTGCTACTCATTTGTGATACGGTCTCACTAGGCTGTTTTGCTATGCTAGCATTCTTGATGTAGACCAAAATGTCCAAAACAGCAGAACTTAAAGATATGGGATCAGGAAGCAAATTTTCCCACAGGGAACCATTAAGGGTGATAGTGAGTGGAACTTAGTGCCAGGAACCATTAATCTTGGCTATGGAGAATCCAAATACTATATTTGGCAGTGATTTAAATCATATACTGCCTTCTGGAGAATCATTCTCCGGTATTCTAGGCTGATTCCTCCTCATTGGCTCTGTAACTGTGTCTTCAAAAGGCAATTACATCTTTCTGTTAATTTAGGAAATTTGTAAATGTTGTCATACCAGTGGACTCCATGGTTGTTGGCCACTGTTGTACCTTTCAGGCCAAGAACTTAGTTCCTTGGTCAGAATACATACTATGTGGAATATTGTGATGGTTGTCAAGGTAATTTTGGTAAAATCATTACATGCAGGATAGGTAAATTCATAGCCACAATAAGTATCTACTCCAGTAAGGACATAGTGTTGTCCCTTCCACAGAGGAAGTAGTCTAATGAAGTCCTCCTGTCATCAGTTTGTTGACTGATCAGTCTGTGGAAATGGTGATATATGTGTGTCTCTGTGTTGGACCTTGCTGTTGGCAGATCTGGCATTAAGGAAAAGATCTAGCCAGGTAAGTCTTGATAAAAGGATATGCATGTCATTGTGCCCATAACTTACACCCATTTCAGCTACCATGCCTTCTTTGACCATGAGCCCATTCTGAAATTACAAGGATGGCTTGGGAAAGAGGGTAACACTAGACAGAATGCAATCCTACATACTTGATACTGAACTCCTCCTTTGCGGAAGTCACCTTTGTTTTCTTTCTTTATAAACATTTTATTTATATTAAATAATCCTATTTTACATACCAATTCATCGTCCCACTCCCCCCACCATCTTTCCATCACACCCCATCCACTCCTCAGAGAGGGTGAGACATGGCACTGGGGATCATCAGTGTCTGTCACATCATTTGGAGCAAGTCATCCCCCATGCCTGTATGAAGGATGAGAGAGAATCCCTCGAATATGAATGGGCTTCATAATGCTAGCGCATGCATTAGAGACAAATACTGGTTCCAATCCCCTTGGCCCCATAGACTTCCCAAGCCTCTCAGCTGACATGCATATTCAGGGGTCCTAGTTCAATCTCATGAAGGTTCATTAGCTGACTGTCTGGAGTCTGTGAGCTCGCACTTGGTAAGGTCAGCTGTTTCTGTGCCATTCTGCTGCATGGTCTGAGTCCTTTGTTCCTCTAAAACTGGATTTCAGGAGTTTGGTTCAATGCTTAGCTGGAAATCTCTACTTTGCCTTCCATCAGCTACTGGATGAAGACTGTGTGATGCCATTTAACATAGTTAGCAATCTCATTGTAGTGGAAGGGCATTTAGAATACCTTCTCCACTATTGCCTAGATTCTTATTTGTGTCTCATCCTTGTGGATTCCTGGGAATTTCCATAGTGCCAAGTTTCTCATTAAGCCCATAACAGCTCCCTCTATCAAGGTATCCTTGCTCTTCTCCTCTGTTAAGGCACCTTTTGATGGGCATTTACACAGGACACAGTGATCTACATGTTCTTGGTTCCTTTGCAGATTTGTCCAAATACTTCTCCTCACCTGCCTTTCTAATTGTTCATACTTTTCTTTTTATTTATTTTTCTCACATGCAATACATCCTGATTATAGTCTCCCCTCCATACAATCCACCCAGATATTCTCAATCCAGTATCCCTTAAAAAAAGAGCAGGCCTTCTGAGGATATCACTGGAGCACAGCATAATAAGATGCAACAATATTTAATACAAACCCTCATATTAAGGCTGGAGGAGCCAACCAAGAAGGAAGACAAAGTTTCCAAGATCAGACAACAAAACAGAGACTACCTACAGTTCCACTGGTAGGAGTCTCACAAAAACCCCAAGCTATATAACCACAACACATTTGTACAGAGGACATAGTATAGACCTACACAAGCTCTGTGACTGTCATTTTGTCTCTGTAAGTCCCTAGAAAACTGCTGAGTTGATCCTGTGGGCTCTGTTCTCCTGCTGTCTTTGATCCAATTAATTCCTATTTTTCTTCCTCCCCCTCTTCTCTGTGGGTTTAACCTCTGCATAATGTTTGACTGTGGATCTCATTATGTTTTCCCATCAGCTGCTGGAGAATACAGACTGGGCTCTGCACAAATCTCAGGGTATACCAGTGTTTCATTGACTTTTTTGTATTTGTGAAATGGAGGACCCTACACAAACAGCTACGCACAGCTGGACAGATTAAAATGGGTTCATTCAAATACAAACTCCACTGGAATCAAGAACTGATTCAAAATTTTTATTAATTTTATATTTGGTTAAAATATTATCTGCAGATGTGGCTACAAGGATGTGAAGACAACCTCAGATTCTCTGAATCTCCAGTTAATAGAGGTAGAAAAGTCCCCTGTGAACTGAACAAGGGTCCTCTGCAAGAGCAACAGTTACTTTTGCCAAAGTATTGGAGATAAAAATGTCTTCTTTCTTTTCTCCTTCTCTTATAAGCAAACATTCATTTTTTCTCCTTTGCTCTGAGCCCCTGTTCACAAATTCTTCTCAGTACAATCCAGACAGCTTCTGCCAATGAAACCATATTGGAATGGGCTCAAGGCAAGTAAATGAAACTGAATCTCAGTTTTCAAAACATTGGAAAAAAATTGAAACCAGTTAAGAAACAGGGTAGAGGGTGAATAGTGTACTACAGAGTCAGGCTTTTCCCCCTCCCCCACCCCACCAGCAATTCCAGGTTATTTAATGTTGTTAATGCCTGAGCTTCCTAGATTCACTGTAAAGTATTCATGGAGCCCATAGTATAACTAGGTGTCCTTGATAACAACACAGACTTCAACTGCTAGCAGACACCTCTAGGTCAAAGCTGACTGGGACCTAGGATGTCTTCAGGCGTTTGAGAGGAGGTTCTAGGACAGGAGCATTGGTAAAAGCCATGCTAGGGCATGCTTCAGCCACCAAGTGAGGATATGAACCCACCATTGTCTTCCAGCCAGAGGTCTCAGAAACTTCAGAAGCATGAGCTCTTATGAAATTCAGTGCCTGGGTTTTCAGCTGCCGTGCACTGTGAAGGTCAGCCAGGAAGAGAGTGTGGGCAGCATTCTCCACAGTGAGTTCCTTGCAGAGGGCATGCTCACAAATGACCTTCAAACGCTCCAGGCCATACTTGTCCGCAGCTGCAAGCACAGAATCTGCCATATTGTGGAGGTCTGGTGCTTTCCCGGTATAAATGAAGCCCATCATTGCCTTGAAGGCTCCCGGCTCCAGATCGTGTATATCAACATGGTTTGTTCTGCTCTCCTCCATGTCATGTTCAAACATGGCTCTGAAAACTGGAGAGCGAGCTGCTAAGATGGCCTTGTGAGCCCGGAATTCCTGGCCAGCTACGACCAGGAGGCAGTCTGTGAAGAGGGAATTCTCCCACAGCTCCCCTAGCTCATCTGTCATCGTACACCTTGGAACCTGGATCCCTGGCTCCCTGTTCTGGTCTTGGAACAGGGTCACTTTGCAGAAGATGGTGATCTTGTTTTCAGGTAGGAGCCAATGCATATGGTCTTTAATGAAATCTCGAAGTATGAACCTTTTGAATCCGCATTCATAGTCTGGCAGGAACTTACAGGCTCTTCGGGTCCCCATTCCCAGGACTTTCTTCCCTTCAGTGCTTACGATCCACAGCTGGAACTTTGCCCAGATATGAGTCTTTAGACTCCTGAGCAACACTATAAAAACTGACAAGTAATCTGTGCTTTCCTCGCCAACCCCATTATTGTATAACCTCAAACACCATTTGCCATTGCCTCCTGTTGAAAATGTTGGACTTGTAATGCATCCCTGCATTTCCTCCAGGAATAAATGGAATTCACTGATGGTCCATCTGCAGCATAAATTCTGTGTGGTGATACTTGTGTAGTTCCAGCCCTCAACAATCCTGTCCCCTGACATTTCTGCTGGAGGTAGTTTGAAATTTAAACTGGATCCAAACAAAGAACTGGGATTTGTTTTTCTTCACCCTGTGGCACACAATAATAGACATGATTTAGCGATTGAAGTTATGGCACCTCCTGAAACTGAGAAGCTTCTGTAATGCAAAGGGCACAGTCAGCAAGACTAAAAGGCAGCCCACAGAATGGGAAAAATATTCACTAATCCCACATCTGACAGAGGGTTGATCTCCAAAATTTACAAAGAACACAAGAAGCAAGTCTCCAAAACATCAAAGGACCCAATTAAAAAATGGGTTGCAGAACTAAATAAAGAGATTTCAATAGAGGAGTCTAAAATGGCTAAGAGGCACTTGAGAATGTGCTCAACATCCTTAGCCATCTGGGAAATGCAAATCAAAACAACTCTGAGATACCATCTCACTCCAGTCAGAATGGCTAAAATCAAAAACACAAATGACAATTTATGCTGGAGAGGATGTGGTAAAAGGGGGACACTCCTCCATTGCTGGTGGGAGTGCCAACTGGTTCAGCCACTTTGGAAATCAGTATGGAGATTCCTCAGAAAAATGGGAATAAACCTACCACAAGACCCAGCAACTCCACTCTTAGGCATATATCCAAAAGATGCCCATTCATACAACAAAGATGTCTGTTCCACTATGTTCATAACAGCATTATTTGTAATAGCCAGAACTTGGAAGCAACCTAGATGTCCCTCAACCGAAGAGTGGATAGAGAAAATGTGGTACATCTACACATTTTCAGCAGAAAAAAACAATGGAATCCTGAGATTCGCAGGCAAAGGGATGACACTAGAAGAAACCATCCTGAGTGAGGTAACCCAGTCACCAAAAGAGAAACATGGCATGTACTCTCTCATATATGGATTTTATACATAGATCTGGGGAGTGCCAGCCTACAATCCCATGGCCAGAGAGTCTGGGAAACAGAAACTTCATTTAGTGGCTGATCGAAGAAGAGGCAGACTCCCTCTGTTAAGTACTGAGCTGAACTCAAGAAAGCCAGTAACAGAGAGGGAGGACTGATGACCAAAGGGATTAAGACTGGGCTGGTTTAACCCCCAGAAGCAGCTGACCTGACAAAGGTTAACCACCAGGCATCAGCCTGGGAATCCAGCATGGGACTGATCAAGACACCCTGTATGTGAGTGTCAGAGAGGAGGCCTAGGTAATCTATTGAGCCTTGGGTAGCAGATCAGTACCCATCCCAAGTATACACACGGACTTTGGACTCCCATAGAACAATGTGAGGTGCACTCTCACCCTGAACTCTTGGGGAAGGGTCTAGGCCCTGCCCTATATGAAATGACAGACTATGGACACCCCCATGGAGGGCCTCACCCTCCCTGGGGAAATGAAGGGATAATGGGTGGGGTTTGGGAGAGGGCACGGGAGGAGGGGAGGGAAAAGGAAAGGGCCCTGGAACTGACTTGTGAAGCAACCTTGTTTCTTATCTAAATTTAAACTGAAAAATAAAAAAATAAATAAATAATTTGTAATAAACCCTGTGAGGAAAACAGGTAGCAAGGAACATTAGAAAGAGAGAGAGCCTGTTTTAGTTGAAAAAAAAGAATAGAGGAGAGCCAAAAGAGAGATACCATAATAGATAGAGTCATTTTATGTTTGAAGAGAGATAGGGCACTAGTGAGATTTCCAGAGATCTACAAGGATGACACCAACTGGCAAACTAAGCAATAGTGAAGCAACTACCTAAATGCCCCTCCCAGATAAAGAGTTTCAGACTGCCTTATATGCTATCCTAGAAACTCCATCCAGAAACAGATGGAAATAGAGGCAGACACCCTCAGCTAAACACTGAACTGAACTCCCGGAACCCAGTGACAGAGAGGGAGGAGTCAAAGGGGTCAAGACTGGACTGATGAAACCCAGGGAAACAGCACCTGAACAAAGGGGAGATCTTGGACCCCAGATGGATGATAGAGAGGCCAGAATTGGACTGATCCAGACCCCCTGAAAGTGGGTGTCATTGAGGAGGCCTAGGCAACCTAGGGGGCTTTGGGTAGTAGATCAATATTTGTACCTGGCACACAAATTGACTTTGCATACCCATCCCACAATGAGGGATTCCCACTCAGCCAGGACACTTGGGGGGAGGGCCTAGGCTCTGGCCTGAACGAAATTACAGACTCTGTTGATCCCCATGGATAGCTTCACCCTCCCTGGAAAATGGAATGGGGATGGGGGGCAAGGGAGGAGGGGAGAGAGAGGGAGCTGGGATTGACATGTGAAGCATGCTTGTTTCTAATTTAAATAAAACACATAAAAAAAGAAAAGAAAGAAAGAAAAATGTTCTACCAGGGATCTCTAGAATAACAGAACATATAGAATGAATCTCTCCATATATGAAGAAATGGGACTCATTAAAATCACTTAGGCTGCTGTCCTTCTTAGCCCATAGTGGCTTGCTATGATGGGAAAGTCCAAGAATCCAGTACTTACTCAGTCCAGGATGTTGGACTTGTCTGCTGGTCTTCAGTATATGCTGGGATTCAAAGAAGAATTTTCTAACGGCAGTGAAGGGATGGACTTGCTACAAGGTGTGCAAGCAGGCAGAGTGCAATAGACACATTCTTCCATGTCCTTTTATATGACTCCAACAGAAGGTGTGTCCCAACTTAGGGTGTGTCTTCTAGCCTTAGATATGGATTAAAGGTGTGTGTCCTCATGCCTGTTGATCCTGATCAAATGCTCTGTATTTTACCTGCAAAGTCAGTATTTCTTTTTTTTTCTTTTTTTTTTTTTTGGTTTTTATGAGACAGGGTTTCTCTGTATTGTTTCGGAGGCTATCGGTCCAGCCCGGCCTAGAACTCACAGAGATCTGCCTGCCTCTGCCTCCTGAGTGCTGGGATTAAAGGCGTGTGCCACCACCGCCCGGCCAAAGTCAGTATTTCAAGTGGATCAACCTACTCCAATTTTTGCAAAATATTTATCACAGTTGTGCCCTGCATTATAGAATTTTTGTCAATTCCACTTGTGACCTAGCTGAGAACCAAGTATACCCATTGCAATTGTAACTTGTTTGCCTTAGTTAATCTTCCATAAATGAAGAAAACGTTTCCATTCATACATAGTTTTTATTTAGCCTTCTCATGTTGTTAATTATTTTTACCACCCTGATAATACGGTTCACACCTTTAATACCCACACTTGGGAGGCAGAAGCAGGCAGATCTCTTTGAGTTCAAGGCAGCCTGTTATACAGAGGTAGGTCCAGGACAGCCAGGAGTATTAAACAGAAAAACTCTCTCTCTGAAAAAAAGAGTATTCTTTCCATGAGCATGATCCAGGAAGAGGTACTTTCTTCACTCAGAAGACTCAGTGTTCCCAATATGGTGGTCAGGAAGGAAGTATCCCAGTATAGTGGGCATTAAACAGAACCAGGCAGGACCCTCTGAAAATGGCTGCCTTCTACCTTGCTTTATATTCCATCCATACTTACAATCCCAGGGATGGATCCAGCAAATTCCATTGGTGATCTTGGCCCTTTACCTCAATTACTCCTCCTTTAACACCCTCTCCCTGATCCATTTGCTGGTGTGCTATGAGAAGATACTAAAGATCTCCCATTTATTCATGCTGACTGCCAAGTTTCATCTTCTCATTCCCTGTTAATTTTCATCCTTCACTGGTGAGTTCTGTCCTCTTCAATCTTTGAAAGTCCAGGCTTAGTCTGCTGGAATTAAAATTTAAGAGCATTCTGGTTTGCAAAGGGTACAAAATATATTCAACAGTTTCTGACAAGAATCTATTTTCCAATATATAGTCTTGAAATTAGAAAATGTGATCCCTTCAAATGGGTAATTTCTGGGATAGGGTACCTACCACCCTGACCCAGCATCCACCTGGTGAAGAATCACCTATGCTACTAAGTGACCACATGTAATAACTCCAGCAAAGGAAACAAAAGAAAAAATCCAACAATCCAAATCAGTTGATTGATTTATCCTCAACTGACAGATAAGTGGTATTGCAGCTAGACTTATAGGAGTTTCAGACTGTGAATGGTTGAGCTGATTGAATCAATGAACTTATTTCTGTGTGGTCTATGCTTAGAGAGTCTTTCCATGATAGGACTAAGTGGAGAGAGATGACAAATAGGGAGAATTTTCTCATCACATATAACAGGGAGCTCTGACTTCTCCCAGGACATTTAGGGCTTCTGATGTTCTTACGACACTGGGATAATTAGGAGATAACAATATTAGAATGGTTTAATAATCAATATAACCAAGAAGACATTTGAATGCTCATCCCCTATAGAGGTTATAAAGTTTATGGCGTGCCACATTATCCAATGATTAAACATAATAGAAGAATACAACAGCCTAATACAGGTATGTGACACAGGCACAGACAGACCAGGAATGAGGATATGTATCAAAACGTAAGGAAAAGAAACAAAATGGGAAGTACTCTTATGATTGAAGGAGAGTAAGTACCACAAATCCAAATATTTTGAGTCAAAATATGTAAGGTTTATTTTCTGCCGTAATGTTTTTTTATACCTAATCTAGGTTTTGAGAGATGAGCTAGGAAAATTGGAGAATTGGGATTTTTATAACCCCAAAAAATGCAAAGCTAAGTGTTTACCACAGGTTGTGGCTATTCCAGGGGAAATCTGGTAATGTAGGATCTTGGCTGAACTTTCTCACCAAGAGCTAATGATGAACAGAAATATTGTTTGAGACTATGGCTGATTGGGTTAATGAAAAAAGCAAAGACTACCTATCAGTTTATTTGGTGTTGCTCAGTTATCCGAAGAGTTACTTTTGAGCAAAGACCTTGGCTGCAGTATAGTCATGGAGCCAGATGTATCCCTAGCATCAGTCAGGTACCATGTGTCACCCTGGACCTGGCTGGCAGCACTGGTCCCTTTTTTCTGTTTAGTTTAAATTAGGTATTCATTGATTGTCTCTTATGTAGTTTACATAAGGACTTGTCAATCTTGCTGACTTGTC